CGTCGCTACCAGCCGTCCGAATAGAGAAAATGATAAACCAATTTTGAACACTCACGTTGTATCGTTACTTTCCCTTGGCCACCCACTCGCTAACACTCGTGAGAGTGTTAACAAAGACATTAACATTTTTTTAAATGGAACTGTACATCTTTTGTTGCATCGATCGATGACGTTCTGTATTCTCTAGAAAAAGTATACATGACCTAACCTAACCTATTAATATCGGAAAAATATTAATTAGAGAGACATCTCGAGAGTCGTATTATTGGATCACAGTTTATCGCAAAATTACTGACTGGGCAAAAATATCCGCAGTTTTTGACAAATACTTTGTAATCATTTTTGTGCGATTTACCATTGCGTAATCAATAAATAATATGGGTCTAACAAAATTATTGTTTTGCACATTATGGAAGAATAGGAATAGCTGTATTAAAGCAAGGTCGGTGTGACCATTAGCGGGGCCAGGTTCAAAAATTTTACGGAACCAGAATATACATTTAAATCCTATTATTAAATTTCACAATAAACAATTATTTATTATAAGTACAAAAGATGTCATACATATTTTTTTGGGGTTGATTTTAAGTTAAAAGAAAATAATTGGGAAAAAATACTTACCAGAAATCAAACTTTTTCAAAATATACAGGGTGTCCCAGGACTAGTGGTACATATTTTAATGGGAGGTTCCTGAGGTGATTTTAAACAACTTTTTCCTTTGCGAAAAAGTTGTCCGATGCGTGGTTATTGAGTTATTAACAAAAATCCCCGCCCAATCAGAGCGCGAGTATACAAGGCGGGCAGGAGCGCGATAACCGCCTCGTGCGTTGTCGCGCCCGTATTTCGCGCTCACGACGAGAGTACAGGTTGAAACAAAAGTTTCATACAAAAAGAAACTAACAAATTGGTTAAATATCAGAAGAAAAAAAAGGATTAGTCGTTACTTACGTTCACTGAACAAATGTAACATGCTCAATGAAATAACAAACAACTTTACAAATTACAGGATAGGTAAAATTATGAAAAATGTGAAAAGAATCGAAGTTGAACTTACTTCTTCGTTGGTCAGTGCACCTGCTCGTAGAAGAACGTCAATGGGTCAATGGGTCGACCTTCGACACTCGAAGATAGGACACATGGCTTGCAGCAGCTGATGCTTGGAGTAAGTCAGTGACCTGCACCCGATGGTTTTTTCCTTATCATCACGATCATTGTCACTTTCCCACTGGCAAATTTTCACAAAACAAAAATTGTCACTTTTACACTTTCCAAATTCACTGCCACTTTACATTTTACAAATCCACTGTCACATTGCACTTTGCAATTGAAAATTTGCATACACGTTTTCATTTTAATTCTTAGCTCCGATCGGAATACTGTTCGCGGAACAATTCCACTGCCGCTCTCGGATTATAACTCACGCGTAAATGACGAAAATATTCCTTGTTCGTTAAGGCACGCACCGTTCTGTTTAGTAACGCAAGGCGAAGCCAACTGATCGCTCGCTCGAAGATTTTCTTCCAGGAAATCTTTCCTCACTCGGGGGACAAGCAGGATGTGTACGACAAAAGGCAATTCGGCCTTGGCATCTGGTAAGTGTAAGTCTGAGAACTGTCTCTTGTCATCGGTTCGAGTGTTCTGCACGTGAAGAATTTTTAAGGACGACAAAGAAACGAAGGTCGGGTTTAGTTGAAAAATACAAACACATTTTCTGTAACGAACTTGTCCCCCGAGTGGGGAAAGATTTCCTGGAAGAAAAT